TGTGTGTGTGTGTGTGTGTGTGTGTGTGTGTGTGTGTGTGTGTGTGTGTTCGGCATTGGTGACATTTAGGGGCAATTTTAAGACAAAAATCCTACCTTTGGGGACAACTTGTGCATTTGTGGACAAAGGTCACAAAGTCGTTTTTTTTTTTTCCTTTTTTTTTAACCGAGTGGTTAAAGTAAATGCAGCGTGTAGTGTTGTCAGCACAAACACGCATGAGTTTTTCTCAGTTTGTCTATCTTTAAAACTGCTCAAAACAGTCTGCTCTAGTCAGAAGCGAGTTTTTTTTTCTTCTGCTGTGTCCATCCGAGCGCTTTCAGTTCAGACCAATCACACATTACCGTCGACACGGGAGGGGGGTCAAAAAGTTCTGCTTGTGCCAAACGGGGCTGTCGACACGATGTTGCGAAGCCCGGTGACGTAATTTTCATCATTAAACTGCGACAACCCGTGCCGACGTCGGCAGTTCAAAGGGAGTATGTTTCCAGCTTAACAGTTTGTTAAACAGTTCTTTCAGATTCAAACATTGCCTGTCCAAACTGAGGCTGTTCAAATGCTTACATGTGAATTATCAAATGTTCATAACTTTTCCATCAAACCTCTTTTTATTGACCCAAACCAACCTTAAAATAATGCCTTCATTATTTATTAATAATTAATGTAAATAATTGCTTACTTATCACCTAATTACATTTGTTCTCTTGGCAGGCTTACCAGTTATCCAGAGGAAGGGTGTGGCCTATGATCATCATCCTGTGTCTGATTGCTGCCATCCTGTCTGCTTTTCTGGACAACGTTACCACGATGATGCTTTTCACACCTGTCACCATAAGGTACASGAACGGCTAAAAAATAAAAAAAGGTCTTTCATCATTTTTGACAAACTTTTTATTTTTTTACAATAATGTAACATTTGACCTGTTTTCTGAATAGAGCTGAAAGCAAAAACACCTTAAATGATTTCAAACTGTTAAAAAACAAAGCAGATTCCACCCCACTTTGATTCTGACTTCATGCATTAGTGTCTCTATTTTAAGGTCTTGGTTTTACATCCACAGATCAAAACAAAGCCGTGCCCTAATTTGTTAATGACCCTGCAGAAATCCTGTGAAGCTATGACGTTAAAGGACTCATATCTTCATCTGCAAATATCTTTTTCATATTCCACTATTTATGTAATCTAATCAAAGGCTGTCTCGTATCAATCTGAATTTTTCAGGTTGTGTGAGGTGCTTAATCTAGACCCCCGGCATGTCCTGATTGCAGAAGTAATCTTTACCAACATCGGAGGGGCCGCCACAGCTGTCGGAGATCCACCCAACGTGATTATAGTGTCAAACCAGGGCCTGCGCAGAGAAGTAAGCACTTTCACAGCTCTGTCGCTCAGACATGCTCTGATCCAGTGAAGCAGCTCAGCTCAGTGTAATCTGACATATAAACACCCAGAAACCAATGTGCTTTATGACATGGGACATGGAGATGTGGAATCTGTTGTTTCATCTGCACAGATGGTTCAAAGTCCAAAACCAGATACAGGTGCTGGTCATAAAATTAGAATATCATGAAAAAGTAGATTTATTTCAGTAATTCCATTTAAAAAGTGAAACTTGTATATTATATTCATACATTACATACAAACTCATATATTTCAAATGTTTATTTCGTTTAATTTTGATGATTACAAATGACAACAAATGAAAATCTCAAATTCAGCATATCAGAAAATTAGAATATTACTGAAGACCAATAAAAACAAAGGATTTATAGAAATGTTGGCCAACTGAAAAGTACGAACATGAAAAGTATGAGCATGTACAGCACTCAGTATTTAGTTGGGGCTCCTTTGGCCTGTATTACTGCAGCAATGCGGCGTGGCATGGAGTCGATCAGTCTGTGGCACTGCTCAGGTGTTATGATAGCCCAGGTTGCTCTAATAGTGGCTTTTAGCTCTTCTGAATTGTTGGGTCTGGTGTATTGCATCTTCTTCTTCACAATACCCCATAGATTTTCTATGGGGTTAAGGTCAGGAGAGTTTGCTGGCCAATTAAGAACAGGGATACCATGGTCCTTCAACCAGGTACTGGTAGCTTTGGCACTGTGTGCAGGTGCCAAGTCCTGTTGGAAAATGAAATCTGCATCTCCAAAAAGTTGGTCAGCAGCAGGAAGCATGAAGTGCTCTAAAACTTCCTGGTATGTGGCTGCGTTGACCCTGGACCTCAGAAAACACAATGGACCAACACCAGCAGATGACATGGCACCCCAAACCGTCACTGACTGTGGAAACTTTACACTGGACTTCAAGCAACGTGGATGAAGTGCCTCTCTTCTTTTCCTCCAGACTCTGGGACCTTGATTTCCAAAGGAAATGCAAAATTTACTTTCATCAGAGAACATGACTCTGGACCACTCACCAGCAGTCCAGTCCTGTTTCTCTGTAGCCCAGGCAAGACGCTTCTGACGCTGTCTGTGGTTCAAGAGTGGCTTGACACAAGGAATGCGACAGCAGAAACCCATGTCTTTCATACGTCTGTGTGTGGTGGTTCTTGAAGCACTCACTCCAGCTGCAGTCCACTCTTTGTGAATCTCCCCCACATTTTTGAATGGGTTTTGTTTCACAATCCTCTCCAGGGTGCGGTTATCTCTCTTGCTTGTACATTTTTTTCGACCACATCTTTTCCTTCCCTTCGCCTCTCTATTAATGTGCTTGGACACAGAGCTCTGTGAACAGCCAGCCTCTTTAGCGATGACCTTTTGTGTCTTGCCCTCCTTGTGCAAGGTGTCGATGGTCGTCTTTTGGACAACTGTCAAGTCAGCAGTCTTCCCCATGATTGTGTAGCCTATAGAACTAGACTGAAAGACCATTTAAAGGCCTTTGCAGGTGGTTTGAGTTAATTAGCTGATTAGAGTGTGGTACCAGGTGCCATCCATTTTGAACCTTTTCACAAGATTCTAATTGTCTGATATGCTGAATTTGAGATTTTCATTTGTTGTCATTTGTAATCATCAAAATTAAACGAAATAAACATTTGAAATATATGAGTTTGTATGTAATGTATGAATATAATATACAAGTTTCACTTTTTAAATGGAATTACTGAAATAAATCTACTTTTTCATGATATTCTAATTTTATGACCAGCACCTGTACATGAAATATGATATTTTGGTATAAGGTGGTGATTATGACTAAATACGTCTGACAGTTTTCACAACAGGAAGTCATTCTTTTGCTGTTGCTTGAAACACTAAGGTGAAACATTAAACTCTGAAAGCTTTTATTTTCTCAGTTAGTTTCTCAGCTGATCATTTGTGTTTGTTAACTGAGATTTAAGCTGAAACAGGAGCAGAACATGAGCTGCTTGTTAGTCACCAGGGTAATAGAAGTCTTCAAAAATATTGTTGATTTGAGGCTGTTAAGCATTTTATGTCTTAGTGCTCAGAAGCTACTTATGTTTCAAGGAGACCATAGAGTTTTTCTCTGATGCATTTTTTCAGCTCCAGGCTTTTCTTCCTGCTTCTTCGTAAACTTTCTGTTTTAGCTGAATCTGGTATCTTGTATGGCATTTATTTAAGCCTCCTTCATACTGGATGACGACCTTGCTACAAATTACACAAAAAATATACTGTAGATTACAGCTTTGCTCTGTCATTTACTATATTTACAGCCCATTAGAGCAAGTTTTTCAATTTCAAATGAATGCAAAATATTCATTTACATACAATGTTGGTATTTAAATATTTAGTAACGCTTTTACTGCCCAACAGTAATAATTACCTTCAAAGTAGCGATGTCTATAGCTGTCCTGACCCAGTTCTTTTTTCGCCTATTTGTTAATTAATTAATCACAGAAGTATCTAAAAYACACACAGTAACACTGTATTGGAATAAAATATTATAACAATAAAAATATATTGTGAGGTTAAGAAATTTATGGGGTGCCATTTGTAAAGCTACACAGTCAAAAATTACCACCAATATTTTGCTTTATTTAGCCTTTCATAAGAAAAAAAAACTATTTTTTCAATGTCAGATTTTCACCATGTTATTCATACATTTATAAATGTCATAATTTAAGAAATAAATATTTAACTTACAAATTAAATATCTAGTTAGCAAGGTAACTTGTGACTTAAATATTTAGTTTTGAGCTAAATGTTTAGCTTGAAACTTAAATATTTAGTTTGCCACCAAAATATTTAGGTTGCAACTTAAATATTTA